GGATAGACGCCAGAGCCTAGCACATGCTGGACAGGCACCTTGTAGTGGATATATGTACTTCTCACCATATAGCCTAGACTGACATCAAACACTCAAGCCCCTTGCCTTGGCCCCACAAGTGCTGGGATAACGCATGTGCACCCTATGTTTGGCTATATGAAGGACTTTTAAAGTCATAGAACAGTAGGGGTTACTTGAAAATCCTTTAAATATGAGTAAAAATAAGGCTGAAAATTGATTAAAACTACAAACGTAGGCTGTGTTCACTTGGCTCAGGAGACCCAATATCATAGAGGATGTAATTTACCCTCTGCCTTGGCCTTCTTACCAGCTAGAAACCTTTTTACATGCTCAAGTCTTGATTATGCATTAAGATAAAAAGATAAGCTTCTGAAAACAAGTCAGTTATTCCAGGAATTCTGGAGTCAGTTTAGTGGGGTGAGTAGAACAGTTGTACATGTAAGTCTGTTTTAAAGTTCTTTTTCTCTGTGTAACAGCATTGCTGGCCATATTGGAACTCACTTTGTAGACCAGGCTGGCCTGGGACTCACAGAGGCTCATAGTGATTTTGAGGCTAGTTACAGCTTTATGCCTCTACCTCTCGAGTGCTAGAATTAAAGGTGTGTGCCACTATTGCCTGGCTGTTTTAAAGTTCTTGTGAGAGGTATTTCTAGTTTTCCCATTACGTGAAAAAATAGTTCTAGCTCTTCAGTGGCCTCAAAGCTAAATTATAGGATTGCTTTTCTGGATTCCAAGAAAGTAATACATTAAAAGATTAGTGAGCCTGTGGTGCTTCATGTGAAGAGGGCTGGGTAAAATAACTGGCATTGTTTAACCACAGTAATTGAGAGACTTGTGTATAAAAATGTGGGTGATCTGTTTCCTGCAAAGTTACCTTTCCTATGACTTCTCTGAACAAGCATTTCTGCTGTGTTGTTCAACTTGTATTACTTTGATTCCCTTGATAGATTCATTTCATCATTTAAGACTCTTTCCAGTGGCTGGAGAGATGGCTCAGAGCTTAAGAGCACTGGCTGCTCTTCAGAGGTCCTGAGTTCAATTCCCAGCAACCACAAAGTGGCTCAGAATCATCTATAATGAGGTCTGGTGCCCTCTTCTAGTATGCAGACATAAATGCAGGCAAAACACTGTATACATAATAAATAAATCTTAAAAAACAAATCTTTCCAGCCATGAATTCTTATACCTTTCCTTACTTGGTTTGTATTACTTTCTGTATGTAACTATTTATGGTTCAGAAGTATTGACTGGTTTTATTTATTTCATTCTTTTTCACACTGAAGCAGATTTTGTATTTATGCTTGTCAGTAGGTTTTCTATTTTTGTTTGGCTTTCTGGCCTGGAAGTGGTTTGGTATAGGTTTTTCACATGTTAGACTGTTTTATAATTCTTTTTCCTACCAAATTTGAGGAAATTCACTAGTTGTTATTCTTTTCTAGAAGAAAACTGGAGATCAAGAGAATTTTTAATGAAATTCAAGGAAGATAAGTCCTCTAGATCATTTCTATATATTAATTATAAAGAACTGACTAAAAAGAAGACTAATATGTATCAAAAGACATTTACCCTAGTGAACAATCCTGTTAATTCCAAAGATCTACCTCCTGAATATGACACTTGTGGAAATATTTTAGAAAATGTTCCAGAATTCATCAACTGTAATCTAAGCCCTGCAAGAAAGAGACTTAATGAGTATGATGGATATTTGAAATCATGCCCAAATTCCATGCAAGACATGGGACATCCTGAAACCAAATTCCATACTCAGAGAGGCAAGGTTTGCAGTCACAGTGATGTACAGGTACAACATGAGAAAGTAGACTTTCCAGCACATTCTGACTGTGAAAAGTCATTTCTTAGAAAGGGAAGCTCAAGTATACACAACAGAGGATACAGAGGGGGAAATCCATCTGTATGTAACAAAAAGGGAAAAGCAACAAATAGTGAAAAAAACCACATATGCACAGAATGTGGGAAGTCCTTCTGCAGGAAGTCAGTATTGGTTCTGCATCTGGCAATTCACACAGAGGAAAAGCCTTATCAATGCCATCAATGTGGAAATAAATTTAGAAGGAGGTCATACCTCATCGACCATCAGAGAACTCACACAGGAGAAAAACCCTTTGTTTGTAGTGAGTGTGGTAAGTCCTTCCGCCTAAAGACAGCCCTCACTGATCACCAGAGAACACACACTGGGGAGAAGTCATATGAGTGTCCACAGTGTAAGAATGCCTTCCGATTGAAGTCCCACCTTATTCGTCATCAGAGAACTCACACAGGAGAAAAACCGTACGAGTGTAATGACTGTGGGAAGTCTTTCCGCCAAAAGACAACACTCTCCCTCCATCAGAGAATCCATACAGGGGAGAAGCCTTATATTTGTAAAGAATGTGGGAAATCTTTCCACCAGAAAGCAAACCTCACTGTCCACCAGAGGACTCACACAGGGGAGAAGCCCTATGTTTGTAAGGAATGTGGTAAATCCTTCTCCCAGAAAACAACACTTGCTCTTCATGAGAAAACTCATAATGAGGAGAAACCCTATCTGTGTAATGAATGTGGAAAGTCTTTCCGCCAGAAAACAACTCTCGTGGCCCATCAGAGGACGCATACAGGGGAGAAATCTTATGAATGTCCTCGTTGTGGGAAGGCGTTTAGAATGAAATCATACCTCATTGATCATCACAGAACTCATACAGGGGAAAAACCATATGAATGCAACAAGTGTGGGAAATTGTTCAGTCAGAAAACAAATCTCAATCTACACCAGAGGATTCATACTGGGGAGAAACCCTACGTCTGTAATGAGTGTGGGAAATCCTTTCGCCAAAAAGCAACCCTCACTGTCCATCAAAAAATACATACAGGGCAGAAGTCCTATGAGTGTCCTCAGTGTGGGAAAGCTTTTAGCAGGAAGTCCTACCTCATTCACCATCAAAGAACTCATACAGGAGAGAAAACCTACAAATGCAGTGACTGTGGAAAGTCTTTCCGCCAGAAAACAAATCTCATTGTTCATCAAAGAACTCACACGGGAGAGAAACCCTACTCGTGTGATGACTGTGGCAAGTGCTTTAGCTATAAGAGAAACCTCATTGTCCATCAAAGGGTTCATAGAGAAAATATGGAAATAGAATAAACGAGGAAAGTGATGCCTTTGCAGCTTGTGAACCTGAAATTTTGAAAAGAAAAACATGCTTACACCTATCACATTATAGTTGCAGGCCACATTGCTGTTTACTGCTTCCTAGTATATGAAATAATTACAGTCATTGTTAAACTGAGTCAGCTGTGGGGATCATTTGTAACTTTTGCACTGTTCTGCTGACTTTGAATACTTTATTAAAATATACTTCCAATTGTGCATTGTAGTGCACAGTTATTGATGCCAGCACTATGGTGGCAAAGCCAAGGTCATAGTTTTAGAGCAACTTGACCTACATACCAGCTTTCATTCCAGTCAGGGCTACATGGAAGAGACCATATCAAAACAAAAAAATTGTATAATTCATGTAAGAACATGTTACAATAAATGGCTATTATCAGCATTAATTTCCATTAAAAGAATAAACTGTCTCATTGTACTCTATATTACTAAAAAGCAGTTGTTGCTTTTCCTATAAGTATATCTGCATTTTTAATTTTTTTTTCTTTTGCTTTTTTGAGACAGGGTTTCTCTGTGTAATCCTAGCTGTCCTGGAAGTCACTCTGTAGACCAGGCTGGCCTTGAACTCACAGAGAACCACCCAATTGCTGGGATTAAAGGCATGTGCCACTACTGCTGGCTGTTAATAGCAGCAAACATTTACTGTGTATGATGCAAGAGAGCGCTGCTTAAGATTTACATAAAAATTTAATCCAGCCATTGAAATGAGATACGAGATAAACTCCAGCAAGAATCGTGTACTGCCAGATGTAACACTTACCTTTTCCTTTCTTTTCTTTCAGATAGTCTATGTAGCTCTGGTTGTCCTGTAGACCAGGCTGGCCTTGAAGACACTCATTGGTACAATCACACATTTTGTTCTCTTGGTATCTGGAAACTGCAAACCTCTGACCACATCAACATTGGAGACAGCTGTGTCTTCCTCTGGATGAATCTGAAAGCTGGCTACTGCCAACATGGCAGTGTAGCTCACCTTTCCTCTAAATACGTCTCAGCCCCTAGTTTTAACACAACCTCAAAACAGAACCCTGAAGTTCTTACCAGAAAGTCTGTTTTTGGATGCTTAGTTTGTTAATAAAATTATTTAGAAATGAGATGAGTGAGGTGGCTAACCCGCCAAGCTTCATGGCTTCAGTTTGATCCCTGGTACACACATGGTGGAATACAACTGATACGATACATGCAGGCTGTCCCCTGGCCACATGGTCATATCCACCCCAAGATCTCATATGTGCTAGTCAGGAATTCTGCCACTGATCTGTATCTCTCTGACCTAGAGGAACACACAAATATCCAATTTTTGAAAAGCTTTCTATCTCTTGCTCTAGTCATAAGTCAAAATTTGTTCTCCATTAAATAGATGTGCAGTCCTTCCCTCCCCCCCTACACACACACAGAGTAAATGACAAAGCAATCCCACAGATAGAAATGGTTAGACTGGTGATTTCTAATGTTTCTCTAGAAGAGCATCAGAATACCTTGGGAAATTGTTAGCAATGCAGATACCCAGAACACAAAACTTAATGAATTGTAAGCCAGAGGACAGTGACAAGCCCAGCAGTGATTCTAATGTACACTGAAGTTGAGCATCTGGAAAAAAAAAAAAAAAAAAAACTAGGAGGGAGTTAAGCTAAATTGTGGCTATGTGATCACTACATACACACACTACTACAGTTATTACAGTTATGAGTAACTTTGCATGTCAGAAATCACATAGGCCTGTAATACAACTCAATACACTCCCTTAATAAGTATCAGGTCCTAGCTTTCAGACCTAACACCACAAAAATTATGGTCAGGAATTAATGTAAAATTGAGACCAATTTTTCATTGTGCCAGTTCATAATATTGTAAGAATACCCCCGGGCAGTGGTGGCACATGCATTTAGTTCCAGCACTCAGGAGGCAGAGGTAGGCAGATCTGTGAGTTCGAGACCAGCCTGGTCTACAAGAGGTAGTTCTAGGAAAACCTCCAAAGCCACAGAGAAATGCTGCCTTGAACCCCCCCCCCCAAAAAAAAAAAAAAAGAATACCTTGAAATTGTTAAGTTATACACAGCTAAGCAGGGCAAGTAAAGGGGGACAGAGACTTCATATTTGGAATAACAAGAATTCATGTATGTACCTAGGCATACAATTCATGGTTATGCCACCAGAGTAAGAAAAGATACATGGTAATGTAGCCACATGAATGAATTCTTTTAAAAAGCTCTGAGATGGCTCAGCATATAAAGGGGCTTGCCATCAAACCCAAAGACCTGAGTTTGACCCCCTGGGACCCACATGGTGGAAGTAGTGAACCAAATTCTACAAGATTCCCCTAACCCAGCATGCACACCACCCACCCACCCACCAACCAAACAAGATGTAAAAAGCCCCAGGCACTGGGAGCTAGCTGTCAGTAAAGTACTTGCCTCAAAAGCATAGGACCTAAATCCCATTCCATGAAACAATGCTAGGGAGAAGAAGAAAAAAAAGGAAAAAAAGGAAAATGTAAGAAAGAAAGAAGCTGTGCGTGGGGAAGTGCATTTGTGGTCCAGCTTTGGTGAGGCTGCAGATGGGCTGACTCCTGGGCTTGCTGTCAGTCAGCTTAGGTCTAGGCCAGTGGGATGTGGACAGAGCACACGCACATGAGGTTTTGCTCTGGCTTCAATAAACATGCACCTCTGTATGCAATACACATGCACCCAACCTACACACTATTTAGTATTTTGTGCCAGATTACATTGTGATGATGAAGATGGGATTTTAACAATCGTCAGGAAGGCCCAGAAGGTCTGAGCCACTCACCCTACCCCCCCTTGGGAAAAGAAACAAGCGTCTGTCAAAACAGAGGAATGAAACACTGAATGTCAAATGATGCCCTTGCACCTAAACGTAAAGTTCTTTAGATGTCCTACGTTCAAATGACCTTGCAAAAATACTAGAAATGTAACAGGGCCATACTCAACACAGCAAAATAAAGTTGAAAGATTCAAACATATGTTGTCATTTTAAATTTTAATAAAATAGATAATTTCATTACATAGAGTGTCAAGTCCATCCACTCATTGTTAGTTTTAGAAACATCTTCTATAAAAGCTTGGTATTTGATAGGGAATTAATCAACTGTAACATTTCTACAGGTACAGCATTCCCACCTTTACCTCCATCCTTATTTTGAAAAATACAGAAAAGTACAAAAAATAAGACATGATGTCCATATAACACAACTGAAAGTTAGCCAGTGTCTTTATATGTACTGCAGTCTTTAAGAGAATGAATGCTTATATAAAAAGCTGACGCCCTCCCCACCCCCTCCCCGTCTTCACTCTTACTCAGGAGTTGGTCTGCATCCTTCTGGTGCATGGCATTTACATAATTACGCATTTAAACCACGTTAAGCTGAGTGTCAAGAAGGAAACTTTAATGTGACAGAAAGTCACTGTACTATAAGCGTCACTCTGCAACTTGAGTTTCCATCACACCGCTCCCAGAATCCTTCCAGTTAAGCACTCCTCATCTGTTGCATCTGCCAGATGTCTGCATAGTAGTCCCCCTAAAAACTTCCCACTCCATTCCTAACAAGTAGTTCAGGTCTAATGTTTGGCTACTATAACTGATACATGTCCTGGTACCTATCTCCTGAGCATAGTTACTCATGAGAATTACTAAGTATTTTCAAATGTCACAAGGAATGTTTTCCCACTCCCAAGGTCATCATAACCTTGTTTTTACACTTCTGCTTTCAATTTCCATATATTTTACTTCTACTGTTTATAGTTTGTGGCATGTAGCTTTGCTCCTCAGACAACACTCTGCCTCCAAACATAGTCTTGGTGTTCATCTGAAGCAATTCTCTTCATATTCTAAATCTTGGTAAATGCATAGTTATCATTCTATAATTTCTGTCCTCTTGAAATTAAATTACATATTACTGCATGGTCATATAGTTTATTTTGCTTCTTCTAATACAGCTTACTTATTAGACTGGTGAAGACGTCCAGATCTATGCTGATAGCAGCCACAGCCCTGTTCTCCTCTTTCAATTACAGAGAACTTGTAAAGTTTCAGCATTGGTTTTGTTTTCTGTTTCGTTCATGGAATGCAGGCTTTAATCATACAAACTTCTTCCCCTTCAGTATGGATTCTCTGGTGTTCATGGCATTTTCTGTTCAACATTTGGCTGATTTGTGGTGCTGAGCCTCTTACTGAACACTTCCCCATACTGAAGATACCCACAGAGTTTTTAATGGGTATGGATTTTCTGGTGTCTGATGTGGTGTGACTTCTGGCTGAAAGCTTTCCCACACTCACTGCACTGGTAAGGCTTTTTACCGGTGTGTATTCTCAAATGCAGGGCCAGGGTTGAGAACTGAGAAAAGGCCTTCCCACATTCATTACAACCGTAGGGCTTCTCACCGGTGTGGCTCCTCACATGCACTGTTAGAGATGAACTCTGAGAGAAGGCTTTCCCACAGACATTGCATTCATAAGGCTTATCACCTGAATGAATTCTCACATGCACAATAAGTGACGTTCGCTGAGAGAAGGCTTTCCCACATTCATTGCATTCATAGGGCTTCTCTCCAGTGTGAATGTTTTGATGCTTTATGAGGTACTTTTTCTGACCAAAAGCTGTTCCGCATTCATTACATTTAAAGGGTTTCTCACCAATATGAATTTTCTCATGCTCAGTGAGGTTTGACTTGCCACTGAAGGTTTTCCCACACTCCTTACATATGAAGGGTTTCTCTCCTGTGTGAGTTCTCTGATGTCTGATGAGGTTTGACTTCTGAATGAAAGCTTTCCCACAGTCTTTGCACTCAAAAGGTTTCTCTCCAGTGTGAATTTTCTGATGGGTAAGCAAGTTTTCCTTCTGGCTAAAGGACTTTCCACAATCACTACACTCAAAAAGCTTCTCTCCAGTATGAGTGTTCTGATGCTTAATGACATACTGCTTTTGGCTAAAGGCTTTTCCACATTCGTTACATTCAAAAGGTTTCTCTCTATTATGAAAATGTTCGTGCTCTGTAAGATTTGATTTGTGGCTAAAGAGTTTCCCACATACCTTACAGGCAAAGGGGCTTCCCCCACTTAAAACCCTCTGCTGACTGACGTGTGACATCTGAATGGAAGCTTTATCACATTCACAAGGTTTATCTCCAATTACGAAGTCTTTGAGAACCGAGGGATTACTCTTGGTTGAGGGTATTTCCACATCTCCCGAAGTTCTAAGGCTGCTGTGTCTGACCTCTCGTGCAGATGCACGGTAAGGGACAAGGTTTAAGGAACGTTGATAGCACAAACCTTTCTTCCCAGTCTAAGTTTTCTAAGAGTCAATGACGCTTCTGCAAATTCCACTTGCTTTTCTCCAGCATGAATTTTCTGATGTTGAGGTCTGTCATCTAGCTAAAGGCTTTTCAATATTCCTTAGAAACACAGGGCTTCCTCTCAGCATGACTTCTTTGTTCAGTGAGATGTGACATTTGAGTAAAAGCTTCCCCGCAGTTGGTAAATTCATAGGCTTTTCCTCTAGTCTGTGTGCTCCACTAACAAATGGGGCAGTGTTTAAACTGCAGGCATTTCGACACTGGACTCTTATAAGATATTCTTACCAGGAGTATTCTCACCAGGAGGCTATGGCAGAGGATTTCCATACTCTACAAAAATGCATGATTCTTTCCCATACAACTTCCTGTTAAAATCTAAATTGTTTCAAGCTCAAAACTTGAAGCTTTGAAAAATGTTTTGCCTAAGTCTGTTCTGAAAAACAGAAAGAAAAGAAATGAAGTCTGTGAGCAAAGATGATCCCAATTTTCTTGCATTCACGCTTTCCTTGGTGGATTCTACTGACCTCCCAGATCTTGCTGTGGCTCTATGTACTTGTCAGCTGCTTCTACAACAGATCACAAAGAATCATTTAAAGGAACATTGGTAATATATGGTAAGCACTCAACAAATACTTCCTGCAAGTTAGTTAGTATCACCTAAACATTCCCCCATTATCTAATGCCAGTGTACACAGTATTAGAAGGTGCTACGAAACCTTCCAAGACAGGGAAGCAACCAATAATTGCACGCAGCTATGACACCTGTGAATCCTAACAATCACCATGGCAAGATATCCCTAAGGGTACAATCGTGGCACTCGTACCTTGGTAGTAACCAGCAGCTGTCTAACTGGACTTAAGGCATGCTAACAGGAGGAAAACTATGTCTGGAACTGCTAACCTGGCCAACTACCCGGGGTCTTAAAACCTACTAAATCAGCCCTGTCCCTAACTATATTCTAAATATTTATCCTTATATCCACAGTTAAGTGTGGCTCTCACCCATCACCAAATAAACTCTTTACAACAGAAAGAGACCATCACAGAAAACCACAACTGGTCGTGGAATATCCGGCCCCAATAGTCACAACTCTTGCACCTAAGGCTCCAGGAACATCGTGGAAGAGGAGGTGGGAAGACGGTAACAACTGAGGATCAGGAAAACTACTGCAGGATTGTGTCTCCTAGAAATGACAGGGAAGCTTTACCTTTGATACTCAACAAAGGCTGCCTGAATAGAACTTGAACAAATAAAACACCAACAGACATGTGAAAATCAAAGGGAGAAATCTCATCTGACTTCACCCTAAACAAAGTACTACAAGCAACTAAGGAGTTCTGAAAAGAGGGACAATCATCTTTCCCAGAAATAAACCCCTCTTATTGGTTATCCAATTCCCACAGTCCACCCCTGAAATCATATACATACAAGTAACAGTATAAAT